GGCGAGAACGACAGGACTCACGGCAGAGACACCATGCCGCACCAGCTATCCAACTAGAAAGCGCAGGGGGTGTGCCGCAGCGGGGCGAGGGAACAAACGGCCAAGATGCGAGCACAAGGACCGCTGCAAGAGGAGCGACGCTCCCCTTTCTGGGGTGTTGCTAGAAGTGCCCCATGGCCCAAGGTGCCCCCCAGGGATTTCCAGGGAGGCCCCCACGGCCTCCAGCGCTCCCCTCACGAGGCCCGGGGGGGCCCCGGGGGGGGCCCAGAATGGAGCGTAAAGCTGGGGGCACCTTGGGCCAGGGGCGCACCTTCCCAGCAACCCCCGCCGTGCTTTTTTCTTTCACTGCAGAAGCACCCGGGCGCGCGACGAGCGCTGGAGAGGAGCCGGCCGTCGCGCGGCGCGCCCCGAGGGAGGGAGGAGCGAGGGCGGGCGGGCCATCTCAGAGGGCGGGAGGGCCTTCTCAGGAGCCCTCTCCCCATGCCCCCCTCCCTCCCCCCCCCCTCTCCCCACTCCCCCCCCCGCCCCCATGCCTCAAGTCGGGACTGTCCCCCCCCTACAGGGGGATTTTCGGCGACAAATGCAAAATACCCCAAACGTAGGCAACAAAATTGTAAAAAAAAGTAGTCCGGGGACCATTTGTTGAATACCTTTTGGCCATTTTGGGGGGTAACTTTTGGGGCATCTTTCATCTTTCGTCGAAAGTGCCCCTGTAGGGTGACACGCCCGACTTGACCCATGACCCTCTGCCTCCCCCCGCCTCCTCCCTCCCCGCCTCTCCCGCGGGGCGGCGCCGCCGCCCGAATGCGCGGGCGCCGGGTGCGCCAGGCGGGGCCTCGGCGAGGCCTCGGGGAGCTCCTCGCGGGGCCGGCTGCCTCCCGAGCCTTCGGAGATGAAGGGGCCCCAGGACACACAAATAAATACACAAAAAAACAGATTCCCCACATTTCCCATTATTTTCCGGGTTTTTGTCTCCCCCCCCCACTTCCCATATTTTCCCATATGTTCTGGGCAATGGACGATTCGTTGTGTCTGTGTGTGTTTTTCCTCCTGATGAGAGGCCCGCCCCCTCCCCCCCCCCTGGGCGCGCCGCCGGGCCACGGAAGGTCCCGACGGAGCCGGGCGCTGTCTCGCGCCTGCCTCCTGGCCGCCACGACGCTCGACCTCACGGCGTCCTGTGGTCCTTCTTCGCAGCCTTCGGCATCGCGGTCCTTGCCGTCGCCGCGGTCGCCGTGCTCTTTCCCCCCCGGGTGGGAGCTGCCCCTGGTTGGAATCCTCGCGACATAGTGGTGCTCACTTCTTCTTCATCTTCTTCACTCTCTTCTTCGTCGTCGTGGTCCAAGGACTCAGCCGACAGATGCTCGCGGTCCCACCGATGCTCCCCAATGTTCCAAGCCACGTGCTCCGTGTCAGTCGGCGCGCCATGGCCGTTCGGCATGGTCGCGAGGTAGATTGGTTCTTGGATGAATTTTGCGCCGTCGTACACATGCCACGCGCCCGCGTCCCTGGGGCACTGCGCCTCCTCAGGGGCCAGCCTGAGACCCTAACCCCTGCCCAAACAGGTGGTTGTGGACGCACTCGGTCCGCTGGCAACCATGTCTAAACACTATCCCTGCGGGCCCAATTGCAAAAGCGGGGGGCCGAAATGGAAGCGAGTCCGCGGGAAAAGACTTCACCCTCTGTGGGGGTGCTTGACACCGATCCGTCGCTAGGGGGCCGCATGTGAACCCTACCCCTACCCCCCACGAAATGAACCCCACCCTCCCCCTCAGAAATCGTGGGGGGTAGGGGTAGGGTTCACATGTGGCCCCCTAGTCGCTTGCACCCGCAGGGATAGGCGCCGCGTGTGACCTGCGGAGTCGGCGGGGGCCCCCCTCGCGGCGTGCCCGTGCCCGGCCTGCACCCCGCTGCCCACACGTGGCGCCTTGCCGTGCCCGGGCCTGCCCCGGTGGCCAAGTTGCCCTGACTACCTACCAGACCACCCCAACCCAACCCGAAGACCCGAATTTCAGAGTTGGGGGGGGTCGGGGTTCCACATGTGTGCTCCCGACGTTTCCCGACCCCCCCCCCCACTGGAAATCGAGGGTAGATCTGAGACTTCGGGTTGGGTTGGGATGGTTTGGCGGGTGGTGATGCCCTCCTTCACGCGGCTAAAAAGCGGACCTGGGGGTGGGATCCCAAGCTGGCCCGCTGCCCACTCCTTCTGCGCATAGGCGATAATGCCGTGATTCGTAGAGTAGTTGCGCCCGATCGCCCATAACAGTTGCTTTGCGACGTAGAACATGTACTGCGGCGGACCGGATTCGAGGGTCTTCCACTTCACAAAGATAGGCTTTCCACCGTGGAACTTCTCAGACGTGATGCTACTCTTCACGTACGTACCATAAACCCTCGACGAATATCAACGAGCAGACCAATAGACTGCCCCACACCATTGGACGGGACACCTAACCCTGGCTGACTCCCATCACAAATCAAAACTGACTTGCTTTGCGTTCCAAAGTGGAACGCCAAGCAAGGTACAGATGAGTAGATCAACATTGCAATGGAATGTTCATCGTGATATTGATCTACCCTCTGTAACTATAGTACAAGTCATCCTCTTCCGCCTCCCCGTCATGAGAAGGGGAAGACGAAGCGTAAGAAGAAGAGGAAGGAAGGGAGAGAGAGAGAGAGAGAGAGAGAGAGATAGAGAAAGAGAGGAGGGATAATGCGCAAGGAAGGAGAGAGGAGAGGGACAGTATGAGAGGGGGCGAGAGAAGAGTAAACAGGGAGGACGAAACAAGGATGAGGGGAAGGGAGGAATGACGAGTGAGGACGATGAGGAAGAGGAGGGCAGAAGGAGGGAGTGGTGTCCACGCCAAGCCCGGTGGCGCTCTCTGCTGGTCTGCTCTATGACCTTGGCTTCTTGCTGTGGATGGACAGGGTTGACGGGCACTCCTTGCAGCTCTCAGCGTCCCTGCTCGGATCGAAAGGGGAGTGGCAGCACTCCCCAGTTCTGTTCAGCCAGCGCCGGAGGTCCCTCGACACGTTGTCAAAGTGCTTGCGGATGTCGCAATAGTACTCCGACCACTTTGCGCACGATCCTCAGGTACCACGACAAGAGAGGCTAGCAGCTATCGGTCTGAACGTGAGCCACCCAGAGCGGGAGCTGAATCTAAGTCTAAACTCGTGAACTGGAGCCCGCAACAGGCTCAGAAAGCCGAGTGGGCTCGAGGGCAGTATCCATCGCAGCGTCCGCGGCGTCGAACTCCCGCAAGAGGAAATCAGCATAAGAGCATCATGAACTCCGGGGAGTCCGCGAGGACTTCTTGGATCGGCGCGGGACCCCCCCCCTGACGCGCGGAGCGCGCCAGGGGCGGCGCCAAAGGCACCGCCAAAGAGATCCAGCGCCGATCTTCGGAATCCGTGCGGAGCTCCCAAAATGCATGCGTATGCGCATGATTCTTGCCATGGTGATGATATGCCTCCCCGTCTCCCCAAATGACGCCAAGAATGAGAAGTGAGGAGTGAGGATAGAGGCTTCCTAAATGGGATCGGAGTAGAAGTGGTCGGAGGATCGCGCCGCATCGCCGATACAGCGGCGATGCATCGCCGATGCATCCGCGATGCATCGGCGACGTCACCGTTGTATCGGCGACGCTGGCGCGGAGGAATCGGGCTCTACATCGACCCGCGTCGGCGATGCATCGGCGATGCGGCGCGATCCTCCGACCCCATCTACTCCGAACCCATCTGGGAGGCCTAGAAAGGAATGAGTCGGCGCGCTACCCTTGCAGACGTGCTGCAGCGGATTCTTGCGTGGATTCCTGTCCACACGAACCCCCAAAACGGCGAGTGAAAAACGAAGTGAACTTCGCGTGGATGTTGGTCTTCATCCCTGGCCAAAAAACCGAACGAAAGTCACCTCGAAATCCGGAGCGATATTCTCCAGAACACTCGGGGCCCATCCTGTCGTTGTCCCAACGAAATTCCGTTCTGCGATGTGGGCGCCATGGGAACGGGGAGAGAGGCAGGGGTGCAGGGGGGAACGGGTCACGTTGCATCCTCGAGGGACCGCGTCTGTCCCCTCTCAGCCCTCTGCGCGTCGAATCGGTGTCGAATCCATGTCGGAATGTCGGATCCCGTGTCGAGTCCGTGTCGAATCCGCGCCGAATCCAAGCCAAATCCGCGTCGAGTCCGCATCGAACCCGCGCCGGGCACAGGAAAAGACACCAACTTGGGGGACAGACGAGGCCCCCCGAAGATGCAGCGTAGCGGGGGGGAGAAGGGGGACGACCGGATGAGGAGCGAAGGGGCGGGGCGACTCCCAGCCCCTGGCTGGCGCATGCTGGTCCCCCCCCGTGAGCTCCGTGGGAAGCCTCGCCTGCCGCTCCTCCTCCTGCTGCTCCTCGCCCACCTCGTCGGCTCGCTGGTCGAGCGGCTCCTCCACCTCGACCTCCTCCCACTTCGACCTCCTCCTCCCCCGCCGAGTGCTCCCTGCAGCGGCGACTGCTGCACAGTGGAGACCAGGGACTGGGGCTGAGCCTTCCACGACGGCGCCGTCGACGCCGTGCTCGCCCTCCCTCCGCTGCTGCCCTCATCTCTGCGACCTCCTCTTCTGTTTCTTCTTCTTATTCGTGTTATTCCTTCTCCCTTTCTTCTTATTATTATTCCTCCTCCTCTTGTTATTCCTCCTTCTCCTCCTCCTCCTCTTCCTCCTGCTCCTCCTCCTCTTCCTCCTTGTCGTCTTCCCTTCGTCTTCTTCTTCTTCTTCTTCTTCCTCCTCCACCTCTTCTTATTATCATTATTCCACCTCCTCCTCCTCCTCCTCCTCCTCCTCCTCCTCCTCCTCCTCTCCTCTCCTCCTCCTCCTCCTCCTCCTCCTCCTCCTCCTCCTCCTCCTCCTCCTCCTCCTCCTCCTCCTCCTCCTCCTCCTCCTCCTCCTCCTCCTCCTCCTCCTCACCTCCTCCTCCTCCTCCTCCTCCTCCTCCTCCTCCTCCTCCTCCTCCTCCTCCTCCTCGCCCCCCCCCCGCGGGAGTCCGAAGTTCGTGTTCGTGCAGGCGATCGCGGGCGCCCCAGGGCGGCGCACCAGCTCCAGGAGGCGCCTCTTCGCGGCCGTGGGCTTCGGGTGCCCAGTGAAGTGCGCCACCACGGCGCGCGCGCTGCAGTGGGTCTGGCAGGCCCTGCCGGGAGCATGCCCCGAGAAGGACCCCGATTGGAGGCCGGGAAGTGAGCACCAACACCAACACAGGGGGTTGCCTCCACAGGGCCAAGATCATCCTAGATTTTGGTGTTGGTGGTAATATTTCGGCCGACCTAGCAGCCAGAATATGACCACCATCACCGAGATCGGGATCTTCTTCCCTCGGTAGAGGCACACCGCCGAAATTGGTGTTGGTGTCAACCTCTAGGCCTGCGAACCGAACCAGGGCTGAACCTAAACGGTGTCTCGTTTTCGCTTTGTGTTCGTTTTCCCTCGTTTTGTCTTCCGTCCACCTTCTTACCGCAAAACGAAGCCGGAACGAAAACGGCCCACGACATCGCCAAAACACTGGGTCCAGCCCTGCCCCGAACCCTCTGGGAAGGGGCTCAAATTGGGAGGGCAAAAAACACGGGGGTTATATGTAGGGAAACGGAACTCTATATACACCGACGCTTTTCCCGACCCTGCGCTGAAATTCGCACCAGAACGCGGATTCTGGTGTATACGAGATCCTGGTGTATACATGTTTCGTTATTTCCCTTGGAAAACGGAGGCAAAAACTATACACCACACCACCCTGACGTCGTCCCTGACCCTTAAAAAGTCGCGGGGTTGAAAGATAACCCGCCACCGGTAATGCATATGCTCCAGCTTGCGATTACGGGGGGTCTGTTCTGCAGACGCGTCAGACCAGACCGCCCAGGTCTCCTCCCCCCGAGGCGGAGACGGGGACCTCCGCGGGGCCAACGCCCTCCCCGTGTCATGAGGGGGTCAGGGCTTCTTCTGCCCTCGAGGACTCTGGGGAGCAGGATGCTCGCCATCGCTCGGACGTCCATTTCCCGTGCATGCTTCGGTTTCGTGCGTGTGTTTTTTTTTGCTCGATGGTCCAGGATCGTCCTCCATGGTTCTCGCCGAGGAAAAGTGCACACGTCCGAGCGATGCCAGGGAGGGGCGGCAGAGCAGCGAGCGCCGGCGCGCGGACGCGCACGCCGCGGGCCCACGGAGGCGACGCCGTGCGACGTCGGACGTGCGCCCCGAGGGGGCGAGCGCGGGGGACGACGCGAGCGGGGGAGCCCTATCCAGGCTCCCCGGTGTTGGCAAGGAGCTCGGCGCGCCCTCCCGAACGCGCCGGGGCCACGGCAGCCCGAGCACACGGGGGTGGGATACCGCCCGGCGCCTCGGCGAAAGCGCCCAGTTGATCAAATGATGTACAAGTGCCACATGTCTTCATCAATCTAATAAATATCCAAGGCACCAGTAGTGACAAATCAAAAAACAATGTAAACATTGACACAGATGTAATTCCATCCCCTGGACACCATTTTCCAGCTGAGCACCCTGCTGGAGCAGAAGCAGCCAGAGAGGCGGGCGGCGCCCGGACCTCTCTCGCTGCCACCGCTGCCACAGGAGTCCTGGAGGAAAAGAAGCAGCCAGGTCCCCCCTATCCCCCCCATCCCTCCAATCCAACAAAAGACGCGAATGCAGGCGCGAGGAGCTGGGGGTCATGCCCCCCTCCACCTTCGAAGGCCCGGCTGGACGCCCATCGTGTCCACGCAGTTGAACTCGCGCGGCACCTCCTGCACCCTGCCGCGGTACACCTCGTTGACCAAGTTCTGGTCGAGGATCTGCTCCCGCTTGCGAGTCGACACCAATTCGAGCATTTGTTTGAACACGCTGAGCCTCGGCCTGTAAAGCATCACTCCGCTGTTGAACTCGTCTTTGCAGCCGTCCATCGCGAGGGCAATGTGGTCGTCGGGCATTTCGCGTTTGACCAACTCCTGGATCCTGCTGCTGAAAATGTACGTGTCCGAATCCAGAAACAGCACACGCTTGAAGGGAAGCCTGAACGCATTGATCTTTTCAAAACTATCATGCCAGCGCCCCAGGAAATCTGAATCGCAGTCTGGTCCACAATAATCCCAATCCCAGTTCGGTACAAAAGTCAAAGACCAGCTAGCATTTCTCAAGAGCGATTGGAATTTACGTCTCATCCCAATGATGGCCAAGGCCACCATGGGGTAACCTGGGAGGTGCTTCTGCACAGACATGCCAAGCATGACCGCCCCGTCCATGTACTCAACATTCTTCTTGCCTGCAAAAGTAACGACTGCAGTCTGCTCCTCTGGGTTCTGAATGCCCTCTACATGAAGCACGTGAGAGACGTTCTGGATCCAACCGGGGCTTCTCGCCTGTAAGTAGTGGCCCTCCTGCCCAGGCTCAGACGCAGGTGCCTGGCGCTCGTGATGGATCGTCACGCCGCGGCCGACTGCGGCGAAGTCCAGCAAAGCAGCGCACAGGAGCCACAGGAGCGCCATGGAAGGTCTTGAGTGTGCTGCGAGAGTATACCACGAGGAGTCCAGAGAGCACCATGTGTTCAACAACTACCTTTTCCATGTAGCTCCGACAATACCTGACAAAATCTTCTGGGCGAGAGGGTGGGCCCACCATCAGATTGCGGAGCGCCCTGTCCCGGCGAACGTAACGAGAACGCACGGCTCGCTTCGACAACCAACCACGCTTCGACAAGGCTGGAGCCCTCGGAACCCTGGGGGCCACAACCGCATCCGCAACACGAGAGGGCCATCGAGAATCCGGACCTTGCGGGTCACAGAGCCAACGATGCAGGGCGGCCCACGGGGCTGGACACGAGCGGGCGGAGCCGCGCGGGCCGCCGACAGAAGGCCACCCCAACGAAGAAGCACTTGAGGCCAGGCCCCTTGTGGGCGGAACCCCGTGTGAGACGAGGCCCGGACAGGGGCGACATCGGACTGGGACGAGTCGGGGATCTCTGGGATCCAGCGGTTCTGGGGGGCTGCGCCGGGCGCCACAGCCGCTCCGGAGCGTCCTGGAACGCTCCGACGAGGCTTCTGCCTGTCATGGCCGCGCCCGACTGCGGGCGGCAGAACTGGTGGGCCATGGACGAGGAGGAGGAAGAGGAGGAGGAGGAGGAGGAGGAGGAGGAGGCAAGCCCATTTGGCCTCTGGCGATCTGGGCCTGCGACCCGATCGATCGGTCAGGTTCGATCGGCGCCTGCCGCCCGATCGATCCCGCCTCGCAGGCCGATCGCGAGGCCGGGCTCAGCGCGCCGCGGATCGGCGATTCGCCGCCGCCGCTGCCGCGCCCTGGCCTCTGGCGGCTGCCGCGCGCCTTCGGCGCGCCCTGGAGAGGCCCGACGCCCCAGGAGCCCGCCTGGCACAGGCGGCAGAGAGAACGCCGAGCCTCGGCACGGGCTCTTCTCCGAGTCGTGAAGGCGGCCGACCTCCTCAGCGGCCACCACTCCGCGCAGCAGCACCAGCGCCCCCAGCAGAACGAGCTGCAGGACCACGAGACCAGCGCTATGGCAGCCAACGCAAAGTCTCACGGTCATCCAGTGGGTGCCAAGCCGTGGCCATGGAGGTCAAGCACACCAGCATCTGGCTCTTCACACCGCCGACACCACGGAGGGCAAGGACAGCAGCAGCCACGGTACCAGCCCCAGCACAACCAGCACCACCACACCTCCCACCACGACGAAGACCGACAGCAGCACAACTACGCCCAGCACCAGCAGCAGTATCAGTACGACTACACCACACCGAGAACGAAGCGGCCTCCCTCGAGAAGACGCCGCCAGGCCCCCGAGGACACCACCAACGACCACCAACATCTGCAAAAGCTGACGAAACGACAGTTGGAGGTCACTGATAAGGTAATGCCCGCCCTGCTTTCGGATGCCAAGGGACACGAAAGTTTTTCTCTCCCTCCCGACGAGCCAGACATACGTCGGGTCTGGCACGCGACCAAGGTGGCGAGGATGGCACGTCTCGCCGACCAAGTCCTCGGAGCCAGGCAAGCTCAAGTTGACCCAACCCGCCTGATCGAGGAGATAGCCATAGTCAAGACCATGCTACACCTGCTGGACACGCCGATGGCTCGCATTGCTCAATATAGATCTCAAGTGGAGTCACGGATCCAGAGACAGCAGATCGTCGAGAGCCAGATTCACGACCTCAATAAGGAGCACGACGAGATCAAGTACGAGATCGCATCCCTCAAGGCACTCATCTCCGAGGCCAAACAGCATCGAGGACATGCTGAACTCTCGGAAGACAGTTGTGACGGGGACGGTGAAGATGACGTGCGCCACCGTGTCAGGGGCAAGACACCACACCCCGAGAGACGACAGCGACCACCAGCTCATCAACCTGTGTCTGAGCCAGCGCCGGCTTCGACTACCAACGACGACAGCGACCTGCGGAAACTCATTGACGTGCTGACGAGGAGAGTGGATGAGCAGCAGCGCAACCACGGGATACACCAACACCATCTGGCGTTTCTCCACCATGAACGTGCCGAATCCGATCAACACGAAGCACAGCGTCAACTGCAGACCGAGCAGATTCAGGAGCTTTCGCAACATCTACAACACTGTCAGGAACAATTTCAGCAAGCACAATTCCAGCAGAGACAGTCGTACTACGACGAGATCCAAGTCTTCCGACAGCGCGAGGAGCGGCTCCGACACGAGGCTCGCGAATCCATCACGGAGAACATGGCTCACTACCAGCAGAAGGAGGCCAACCTGCGCGACCAGCTCAAGGAGGAAGAGTCAGCGCACCTCGCCACCTTCATCATCCAGAGGAAGCAAGAGGAAGAGACCTTCCGACACCAGCTACACGAGAACGCCGAGATCATGGTCCAACAATATCAACAACGCTGCCACGAACAACAGCAACGTCTTCTCTCCGAGAAAGCTCAGGCTCAGCAGGACATCAGCAACATCGCGAGGCTTGAACAGAACCGGCTTCAGGATGCCAAGGAGCTACTTTTGGAGGAGTTCGGACAGGTCCAGGCTCAGAAGTACCGCACTTTGACGGCCCAGAGCGAGTACAACAGCGAGATCGACAGGCTTCGAGGCACTTCCCGTGACATGCAGCGCTTCGAGAACGAACTCCAGGAGCAGCACCAACTCCAACTACAGGAGCACCTTCAGCAACACAGACAGGAGCGCGAGCGACTGCACTGCGAACTACAGCAAGCCCACGAGTTCGGCACCAGCATCGACGTGGACATCCTCAGGGAGCTCGACACACGACTCCAAGAACGAGACGAGGAAGACGCACGACTGCAAGCCCAAGCAGACGCTGAACAAGCACAAGTCGACAAACAGATTCAAGCGGCACTCGAACTGCTGACCCCACCGTCTACCTCCGATGACTCGGGCTATCAACTCTACCTCAGAAACCGCGGCAGCAGCAGCGGTGGACAGCCCAGCAACAGCGGACAGCGCAGCAGCACACCACCACCACGACCGACACCTGCGACGCCAACCGCCACTCCTACTGCGCGACGCCCATGCCACGACGCCGACGACGCCAGCGTGCACACTCCAATCCCAGCCGACGACGACGACCTTTGCAGCCCAACCCCTGTTGCGAGCGACGCATATCCCTTCCCTGTCCCTACGCCATTACCCACCCCCGCCTCCAATACGCCGATCCCCACCGAGCAACCTACGCCCATCGACTTCCACCCACCCGACCCGCAGAATGACCGACCCAGCTCAGCGCCACCACCACGCACCAGAAGGACAGACTCAACTCAGCACAACCACCCATCCACTACTCTCCTCATTGACATCACTTCCGACGACGACGCACCACCACCTTCCACCCCAGTGCGCATTCCACTAGCCGACATATCTCCTACCGCACCGATGCAGCCAATCCAACCACCACCCCGCTTCCACCTCGCCACGCCCGACCGCGCCACCTCTGCTCCTCCGCCCCGCACCGCTCTCCGAAAAAACGGATCATCTAGACGAGCGGCCAAGCCCAAGAAAGTCCGTATCTGCGACATCGGAGACGGCTTCGCAGACCCAGGAGACCGAGTGCCAACCTTCCTCAACGACGAGGAAGCCCCTGCGGTCAACTCACCAAAAAACTAACGGGGCCCTCACCCCCTGGGGGGCAACTGGCCCAGGGGGAACGGCCCAGCATCATACCAGAAGACTGTCAGCGCAACGACGGCACTTCCGACTCCTGCAGTGGTTACGCCGACGACGTCAGGCGCCGACTATTTGAGCCCCTGGTGAGCTCCGATTCACCACGCGACACTTCACAAGTTTCACCTACCCTCTCATCAGCCAATAGCGGCATGCGCGTTGGGGAGAGCGCACCTCCAGATCTTTACGAGCATGGCGACATGTGGGAAATCCACACACCGCCCAACATGCTACAGCCTAGTAGTGGACCGTGGACCATCCCCTCGGCCTCTACCTCTCGCTTGGGGAGCGCGAGAAGGCTGTCTCACACAGATCCCACACTAGAACCACATACGCTAGCGGACCGACCAACTACCGCCACCCAACCTCGACGGCAGCATGTCGACTCACATCCTCCACCAGCGGAAGCCCAGTCACGGTCGTTCCCGACGATGACGACGCCACCGCCTACGCCTCGAGAGGAAACATCGCTTTGTGAGTACGACACGGGGGGGGGGTGCGGCCGTCTGTGGCAAGAACGACCAGAGCCACCAACAAGGCATCGACGTACTAGCCATTTTGGCCAAGATGGCGATCGAGACCGACAATTTTGCGACTCACCGAGCCGGCCATGTACATCAACTTCCTGCCGGCCACAACCTCCCATTTTTGACTCCCTTGACGCTACCCAGATCCTACACGGACAGACCGACCTGCCGAATGCGGAGAGCCACGAGGCAGTACGGCATGTTCGTTTCTCCCGCGAGGTTCATACCCGCGACCAGCAGACCGACAATATCCTCTACCACATCGACTTCGACGAACAGGAGCCCTTACTCCAGCACCTTCGACGACTTCAGGCTCCCAGGCTCACCTTCGACTTTACCGACCGTTGCCACAACGAGGTTTCAGATTACATGGTGCGAACATTTCCATACCGACAGCTCCCACGAGATTCTCGCCTGTATTTATACACCGACGGCTCCAAACACCCACGCCAACATGGTCAAGACGGATGGTCAGTTGTACTCGTCGGAGAAGACGAAGAAGGTTTCTCTTTTCAAGGTGCAATAGTCGGCAAGCACCGCGACTCCACCCTCGTAGAGATCCAAAACCTCACGGACAACGAGACCACCTCGACATCCAGCGAGATCACAGCGCTCATCTGGGCGCTCGCCTACATTATCCACAAGGACATCAACCACAGTATCTCGGTCCACTCCGACTCGCTGGGAGCGATCCAACTGGCAAGGATGGAGGCTTTTACTAACCGAGACGCCCACCTCGTGCAGCTACTGGTGATCATGTATTCGCACGTCAAGGAATATGTTGACCTGCGTCACGTTCACGCCC